TTAGAATGAATAGATAAAAGCAGTATACTCTGAGCTGGGTAAGTCTTGGAGGTGTGTGAATGGGCCCGATTCCCCCACCTAGTGAATTAATTTCTCTGTTTGTTTTGTCTTATCTTTGTAAGTTGATGTGGCGTATTCCAACTTAAGAATGTTTAGGAAGTGTGAAAAAACAGAGAAAAAAGTGTGGAAAAAATATAGGTAGTTACCAGCAGGGGTTCAATATTTCACAAACCTTGCTGAATCGTGTTGCAATTATCATGATTTAGACAGCTCCATCTCTCATTATTTTACTAACCAATTCCATTTTTCCTTCTATTTTTTCTATAACAACCACTCGCATGTGTACAGCGTCTTTCATGTAAGATGGGCTTGTCAAAGCAATTTACAGAGACAATAGGGATCTGTGAACAGAGAAGGAAGGAGAGGAGATATTGAGGATTTTCACTGACGTCAGAGTCTATGAGAGAGATAGTTTTGTAGACAGAGAGAGAAGGCGCAAGGCAAAGGGATTTGGGGAGTGAGTACCAGAGAATTCCACAATTAAATGTGTCCTTTGATTTCCACCCAAACATTTTAAAGACACATGAACAATTTGTGAAATGATAGGCAGCTAAATAGTGAAAACGATAATAATAATAATAATAATAATAATATTAATATTAATAATAATAATCCTTGCATTTGATATAGTGCCTTTCACGTTGGGAGGATGTCTCAAAGTGCTTCACAGGATATAATGCAATGAGTAGCAACTATGTGTTTTGTAGGACAGCACCGCAGCCAATTTGCGCAGAGCAATTTCGAACAAACAGCCATGAAGTGAGGTGACCAATTTTATCTGAGGCAATTGTTGCTTAGGACACCAGAAGAAACTCCCTTCTGTCTTTCACGGGATCTTTAACGTTCACTTGAGCAGGTAGACGGGACCTCAATTTAACACCACATCCGGAGGATGGCACCTCCGAAAATGCAGCAGTCTCCCTGCTCTGCCTAGAAACAAATGTGGAGGCTTGAACCGAAAACCTTCTGCCTCTCGGAGGCGAGAGAGCTACCAACTGAGGCCAGGTTGACGTACGAATATAGCATCAACTCAAAGAGTTGTCTCGTCATTTCTCTATTGGCTCTTCCTTTGTAATAGTATCTTGTGCAGACCTTGAATAATCAGGACTTGTTAGACAAAGGATCCAGAGAATCTTTTTGCTGGGGAGTGAGTATGTGTGTGTGTGAGGGGGGGGTGTTGGACAGACAGAGAGGGGAAGGAGGGAGGGAAAGGACCATAAATCTAAGAAAATCATATTCGGCTCATCTGTTATACTCAGCGAGTCTCTCTCAGCTACAAAGGGACAACTAATTCAGTCTCTTTAAGTGCTGCATGTAATGAAGGATATTGCTCAGACCCTGCATTTGGAGCCTGTAAGCCTGTAATGAATGGGGTCATTAAGATGGTTCTGTGAAGTTCACTCAACAAAGCCATTAGTCCACCAGAGTGGGACACTCTGAAAATGAGATATCCTGTCCCACGGGGGCCTGACAAAGTATTTTTCAGGTGTTTCTCTCTCTCTCTCTCTCTCTCTCTCTCTCTCTCTCCCTGGATTTCTCTCTCTCTCTCTCACTCGCGCTGTTCCACACCCCCACCACCCCTTCCCTCTCTGGGTTTCTCTCTCGCTCCCTAAGTTTCTCTCCCTCTCCGTCTCTCACTGAGTTTTTCTCTTTCTCTCTCTCTTCCACAAAATATACAACTTACAGTATATGAGACATCTTGAAGAAATGATAAGACACCATATCAAATGCAAGGATCATTATTTGTTATTTTATTTCGCTCTCCTACCCTCTCTCACCAGGTTTCTCTCTCTCCTCCCCTTTCTCACTGTGTTTCCCTCTCTCTGAACTACCTCTTGCCAATCTGGTCAAGATGCAAGATTTTCTTTCTTTTCAGAGAAGTGCCATTACCCTTGCCTTAAAAATTCACAAGAATCGGGTTCTCTTTTTGCCTACGTCCCTCTCTCACATGTAACATCCGTTTCCTCATAAGATGCTCTGTTTCCATGAATGTCACTTTTCGCAGAAAGACAACAAATCAGGCAGTGGTGGGTGGGTGGGCTTGTGGCTGCTTGGTTACCTTGTAACCCTGTCCCCTAATGACCTTACCTCCCGGGAGTTTATACAGTTCCCTGTTGAATGGTGATTCCATGAATAGCCACTTGTTTGTTGCTTGGCAGACAACCACGAGCCCAGTGCCATTCATTCAGAGCTCCCAACTTCCATGTATGCCATCCTCTTCCTCTTCCTCTTCCCCCGCCGGCATCCTCACCAGTTGTGAAATCGAACCTCATTGCGATGTCTCCGATAATTGGAGAATCACAGAAGGAAGCCCATCCAGGTTAAACTGTTGGTAGCTCCTCGTCTACAGCCACCGACACTGGGATCCGTTTATAAAGCAGCTCAATGCTGTGATGGAGAGCCGTTAGGGTGGGTGTTCTGGAAGGATGAGATCTGATGAGCCAAAGGGCCTTCTTCATCCAAACCAATCTTGTGAAGCCCTCGTCTCCTGGTCGAACTTGTTTTTTTTCAGAAACTCCTTGTTTCCCCTTCCTCATGTATTCTACAGCCCACTAAAACGCAACCTGGGTGTCACCTTAATCACTCGGATGGTTTTAGGTAAGCGGGATGGATCCCTCCAGGAAGAGAGTGCGCATTCCATTCCAACAATCTTATCTCTGGAATTTCCATGTGTAGGTGGGATGGATGGAAATCTCAGTTTGCTTTGGGTGTTCTTAAGCACCGTGATGGGTTTTCCGCATGTGTCAGAAATCCGGGTGATCAAAAAAAACACAAGTTACCCCTCCCTCCCACCCCCTTGCTCTTTCCATCCTTGGTGGTACCCTGCACTGTTTTTTTCAGTCAAGGACAAAATTCAGTAACTCTTAAGACTCTTTTTGTTATTTAAACCAACAGCTCGATGCTGCGATGGGGAAGACAATGGAGTGGGTATTCTAAAAGGGTGAGATCAGATGGGAACGTAGGAATATAGAAATTGTTAGATGAAAAAAGACCAAGGTCCATTTAATCCAACTTCTACCATCCTGGTGGTTGCATGCAACAGTAATAGAGATGTTGATTACAATTAATTTTGTATAGATTAGTCTACCAACGCAGTAGAACACTTTGAGAACCTTAGATCCAAAGTTGCCTAGTTCTTCCAAGCATTCTACTTGTCATGTCTCAAATTACTCGTATACTGTCTCTCCAAATATAATTTTCCAAAAGAATCAATCTAATTTGCTTTTCAATGAAATTACACTATCGATGGCCCAAAGGGCCTTCTTCACCCAAACTGATCTCTTCCTCTATACATATTGATAATGACACCATTATAATAATAATACTTTAATTTAATATAGCGAGTTATCACGTCATTGAGACATCTCAAAGTACTTTGTCGAATACATTGTAAAATGAATTGATTATATTTTATGGGCAGAACATGGCAGCCAATTGCATACAACAGTGTCCCACCAACAGTGGTGGATTGAGTGACCAAATTATTATTATTTATTTATTTTGAAGGGATTATTACCCCCAGAGAGCGATCTGACAATCAACTAACGACTGGGTTCCTACTTACTGCTAGGTAACTGGGCTTATTGCTAGGTCAGAGTGTGCCTGTGGAGTCCTGTAACTCAGCAGTTAGTACACTTGCCTCGTAAGCGAGAGGACCTGAGTTCGATTCCCTGTCAGGGCAAAGTGTTGGGCAAGTTTCCTTACTCCCAGCGCCTCTGTTTGTGGGACACTGCTTTGCACATTTGGCTGCCGTGTTTCACCCACAAAATATACAGTCAATTCACTTCACAGTATATTCAGTGAAGTGCTTTGAGATAAGGCGAGGATTATTATGATTATATGCTGCAAATAAATAAAATAGAACAGTAGTGTTTCCGCTTGTGGCTGCGCTGTTGCTGTTGCAGTTGCAGACAGAATTTTATTGAAAACAAAGGTAAGTGAAAGAAATATAATAACTGAGGAGGATGTGGGTTGGGTTGGGGGGTGTGGGGGAGAAGGGTTACAGTAATTCTCCAGGGGCTCTGAGCTCTTGAAGGAAATTAGACCCATCTGTAAGCTCAGCAGGATTTGACTAGAAATATTGCCTACACATCTATAAATCAAAACTATTATGTACACACAGAAGTGCTTCATCTCATAAAGTATTTGGTAATTATTCTGTGTAGAAATTAGCATAACGACTTAGTTTTAAAAAGCAGAGAAGAAAAAAAATTGCTAAGCACAATGATGTTTTTTTTTGTACCACATTTATTCAAGTCAACTTTCTTTTTTTTCGCATTACCAGCCAGAGCCGTTTGGTTTGTGATTTACAAAACCACCTACCAGAAAAAATTGATATCTCATTAGCAAATAATTTATGGTCATTTTTAATTCCTTTTGTTTTCTTGTCGAGTTGCTGTCATGGTGTTAATGTGATTTTTTTATATATATATAAATCTGGCGGATGGCGGTGGGAGGGGAGGACAGGGGAAAGGGGTAAATTCTAAAAAAATATTATTTTTGCTGCTTTTTTTTCTCTCGAACCACCGCCAGGAAGCATCAGCTTAGGGTAAAGAGGTGCTTTTTTTTCCCCCCCACATTGTTTAATTAAAGCAGTTACTCATTTCAATCGAGTCAAACTGCTGTGCGCTGCTGTTAAGTGTGGAATTGATTTTCCATAGCGTTTCCCTACGTGTATCCAGAGAATATTCGTGGTGGAGTGCATATAAATTATGCCCAAGTGCCGTAACATACAGCAGAGATGTTTTTATTTTGTTTCTTTTGTTTCTTTGTTCGATGCATTTACTATAACAGGGTAGTTTTAGACACCTCGGAGAGCCTTAGGGTAATGTGTGTATGCCGATATGAGAGTGTAGAGAGCGCGACATTGAGAACGAGAGCCCGTGGGTTGGGTTAGATCTTTCATTCGGCCCTCAATGCACTTTTTAATTATTCCGAAGGGTCGGCCCATGAGTGGTCTCCAGAGGCCAGGCAGGACGTTTCATCCGGCCCTCGATGCGCTCTTTTATTATTCACTAGAGCCGGCTCGCCAGTCCTCCCAATCGGTCAGGCGGGAGATGAAAACTCCAACCAGATGTGGCACACAGTAAGCTCCGTCTGCACGCACGGTGAGTGTCCGCTGTAAGAATACTCTTCAGAGTGCGGTCGAGTCCTGTGCCATTTTGGGCTGTTACTGCCGCTGAACCGCGTTTGTACGTTCAGCGCTCAGCATTATTATTAATAATAATAATAATCATCCTTGCATTTGGTGCAGCACCTTATCACGTCGTTCAGACGTCTCAAAGTGCTTCACGGGATATATGCTGTAAAGTGGATTGAGTACGTATTTTGTGGGCGAAAGGTGGCAACCAGTTGTGCACAACAATACCCCACAAACAGCCGCAGAGTGGAGTGACCAATTTTATTTGGAGGATTGTTGGCCAGGACACCGGGATACACACCCTTCTCTTTTCCAATCGTGCCATTGGATCCTTAACGTCCACTTAAACAGGCAGACGCCGGGGCCTTGGTTTAACATCTCATCCAGAGGACGATACCTCCAACAATGCAGCGCACCCCCAGCAATGCATTGGAGCGATGTCCCAAGGAAGGATTGTAGAGCAGGGCTTGGGTTTCGATCTCCCACCCCTCCTCAGAGAGAAGACATTCTGCTCACTGATCAAAGCGACATCCATTGGACCTTTGCCACAATTAAAAAACTTCATCAATTCGATCCCCAGATCAGAAATTTGTGTTGTTTTTCTTTCGAATTAAAAAAAACTAAATATTAATTTGTTGATATATATATACACACATAAAAAAAAATGGCTTTATTTGCCCTGACCTTTCCCTATAGCACTGGCAGGCAGTCAATGTGGAATCAGGACTCCAAGCAACTAAGCTGTCCCCTCATGCTTTTGTCATATTACCACCATAAATTTTATTTTTATTTTTGGTTTTGAATCATGATTTTATTTTAATTGTAACTTTTTTTAAACAAATCATAACATTGTTAACAAAAAGGCACGTAATGCTGCTGGGAAATGACATGAGTGAGAATTCTAGCTGAGTACATTTGGTTAAAGAGATCTTAAGACACAGCACTTTGTTTTTCCCCCCAAGTCTTGAACAGAAGAACAGTCTTTGAATCGTAACAATGTGTTTGCTTCTTAAAAATGAATATACTTAACTTGGATTATGCTCACAAGTATATGCCAATAACAACAATCCTTGCATTTGATACAGCACCTTTCACGTCAGGAGGACATCTGAAAGCACTTCACGGGATTTGTTGTAAAGTGTAGTGCCTGTGTGTATTTTGTAGACGAACGCAGTGGCCAATTATCTGCACAGCAATGTCTCACAAACAGCTGTTAAAGGGAACAACCAATTTTATCTGGGGGATTGATGGTCAGGACACGGGGAGAAACACCCTCCACTTTTTGAGTGGTGCCACAGGATCTTTGTCATCTACCTCAACTGCCATGTAGGACCTTAGTTTGAAGTCTCATCCAATGGATGGCACCTCCAGACTGACAATGCATTGCAGCACTCCCCCAGCACTGCATCGGAGTGCCAGCCCACACTGTGAGTTCAAAGTCCTGATGTGAGGCTTGAACCCATAAACCTTGTAACTCGGAGGCAAGAGGACAACCCCACTGAGGCAGGCTGACAATAAGTACGTGCGCAGTAGTTGACTTTGTCCCATCATATATCAGTTCATAGGTTAGAAGTGAGAAATTAATTGTTCTATTTATTGAATCGTTTCTATCGAGTAAACACAATCTGAGTAACGTTTCATGCAAATTATAATAATAATGATAAAAATCCTTGCATTTGGTATAGCCCCTTTTATGTCAGGAAGGTGATGGGTTTCTGCGTGTGCCAGATACCCAACTGACCAGAACAAAAATCACCTGTAACATTTAAGTGTTAAATCTTGGGGTGTGACTTACAAGTCTGGTTTTACAATCCATGTGTGAAATGTTTGAGTTGGGTTAACCACATGCAGCTGAGTGTCATTATGCAACTAATACCCAAAAGTAAAATAATCATTGGTTGATAATTTCAGAATTAAGGACCTTTTTTTAAAAAATTTCCTCTGTGTTTGCCCATGGTTAACCTGACCTACAAATTTTTGCACATGAGTTGGTGAATCACCACTACGCTCCACTTAAAAAGCCAAACCACTGTATTCGATCACTGCTTTATAATCTTTCCAACGAATCTCGTATCCCCTGATCCCAAATGGCCAGTGACATGTCCTGTAAGTGCTCCAGAACCAGTCATTAGTGCATCTATAAGCTATCTTTAATGGTCAGTTTTCATTAGATGAGAAGAGGGTATATAACTGCACCATTGAGCTCCTTAACGATAAATCTATTGAATACTTACGTAAAATTTACTCAGAGAGTCATATTGTGTGTATTTCATCTGTTTAGGTAAATCCTAAATCATATTACAGGCTGAATAGTTGCAAATTAAACTTGGAGTTTGCTCAAGATGCTTCTAGTTGCTGAACCAATTGGGTGTGTCAACAGCCAAGAACAATGCTAAGAAGGCTCTCTCTCCAACCCAGTTAGGACGTAAGGGAGATGTGTTTCGAAGGCGGGTTGCCATTAGCGGGGGTGCTCAATCCACTGTAACAGTTTTCATACTTTTGTACGAGTCGCTGAGCAGTTTCCTCCTGCCAGAATGTGTAGCTTAGGGGTGAAATTTGCGACATTTCGTAACTATCACAAGGGACATGTTATAAAATGCCACACCAGTCAGTCACCCCTTTTTTCCCTGCAGCCAGTGTCCAACTTGTTGTGGTGGTGGCACTTATTCAGAGTACAGCTAACATGCAGAATTAATCAGAAAGCTATCCTTTGTTTTATTGTTCGAGTAAAGAACTGCTTATAAGTTTCTGTGTGGCAGAAGGATTGCGTGGAGAGGGAGTAAATATTCCGGCTTGTTAAGGCACGTTGCTCGTGGTGAAGATTCTCGAGTTTTGCGGCAGAATTCGATTTGAAGAACAGCTGGTTTGCCCATATGTTACTGATCTTCAGCCCTGGGTTCCAATCACTCACAGGAGCCAAATCGCAGAGCAAAATAGCAGTGAGGTGTAACTGCAATAGACCCACATTCCTAACATCGACCTCTTTAACTTTTCTTTATAACTCCTAACTGTGTGTATATATTCTTTGTAAAATCAACCTATTATTGGCCCGTCTCAAGGTATACTTGATAGACCACACATTCAGTCATATTTCCCCTCCCCACCCACTTCGTTTCACACCCCAGCTCGGGTGCCCAGCCAGGAGTATCAAGCGCTTTGAGATGTCCTCCCAATGTGAAAGGCGCTATATAAGTGTAAATTGTATTGACATGAGGAAAGATATTGTGTCCCACTGCTCAGGCCTGTTAGTTAATGAACGGTGATATGTTTATCTGAGTCATTTAGAGAGAGAGAGAAAAGCAGAAGGAATAGCACTTGCGGAGGTGAAAATGCAGTCACGAGTATGTGGACTGACAACGTAAATGACTAAGTGAGAATATTGGATGTTGAACAAACTTTTAATGAAACAGATGAGAAAGAATGTCTTGATCACAAGATGTGCTCTTAAGGGAGAGGGACTAAACAGATGTCCAATTAACTCCATAATCCGCAGTTGGACATTTTGTAGCTTTGCAGGTATGAGGGAATCTGAACTGCGTAATGAGATTCTTTAATAAGGCTTCCGAGGCACAAAAGGGGTTTCATGAACTGAAAGTATATCATGCCGACCCTCGGGAATGACGTGGTGCACTTATAGTGTTGTTCTCTTAAAGGGCCATTCAGAATTGCATGAGAGTGATTCAGTTTGACACCTTCCATCAAAAATATTCTCAATCATTAATGTGACTACAATCCAGGGAGGGGTTAGGGAGACAAATAATAATAACAATCCTTGCATTTGATACAGCGCCTTATCACATCTTCGAGACGTCTCAAAGCGCTTCACAGAATATATTGTAACGTCGATTGATTGCGTATTTTGTGGGCGAAATGCGCACAACTAGTGTCCCACAAACAGATGCAATAAGTGCAACAAACAGAAATAATAAGGGCTGATTCAATGCCTCCTCTTACCGTTTCCTGCCCCCATCCTCAAGCCTCAACGATCCTTCAGCACACCAAGGGTTAAGCGAACAAGCTGTGTTAATGAAGTTCTGTGCAGTGGCATATTCTTTGAAAGTTTTGCTGAAACTGGATTCATGCTGTTTAATTAACACATCAAGCTGGGTTCTCTTTAATTATAGATGTGCTTCTGGACTCATCCATCTTAACATGCAAGAATGATATCAGTGAGGAGAATGCTTTCTGCTTTTTTTTCCTCCCCCCCCCCCCCCCCGCTTTATTGAATACTCAGATTTGTTCTCACACAGCCTGAACGTTGTGTGTTTAGTGTGTGCATCTGTCTGTAAATAGGCATAGGGTAGGGTATCTATCTTAGAGGAGAGAAGTGATTTTAGAATAAAGTAAGGATCATTGATCCTCAGCTCTTAAGGAGTTGTGAATTTCCTGCAGTGTTGGGTTGGTTTATTTTCCGGGGTGGGGGGTTGTGTACAAACTTAGAGTGGGACTGTGTGATGGAGTAGAATGTTTGCTTCTAAAGGGCAAGTTTTCGTTCCATCAATTTAACGCTTGTGGCCACACGGTGTGAAACTGTGCTGGGTGATGTGGCGGTGGGGCGGGCGGGGGGAGGTGAAAGGTGTTGTCTGTCTCTGGAAGCAGATCGTTGGGTGGGGGGGAGTGGGAGACACTTCAGATTTGTCAGTACTGTTATTATTAGTATTGCCTGTTAATTCAGGTTGGAATAAATGCCATCCTGGGGAACAGACAAATCCCCTCACACTGAACCCCATGAGATCCAGGACAGCATTGTCAGGACACTGTGCATGCCTCGATATCACTAGCCCATTGATGGCCTGAAATTACCAGCTGGATTTGAACCTGAACGACTATTTTGTTTTTCCGATCATGCAGAATTGTGTCTGTCACCTGTAGTGACTGTGCATTCACCTCCTAAAAACACACCTTCACTATGCTTTACGGTAAAATCCTATACAGTACTCTGAGGCATCCTCCTGACGTGTAAGGCGCTAAAACAAAAGCAAGGATTATTATTATTATTATTGTTATTATTATTAAGCAAAGGCCAGGAAGACTGTGCACGATTGTTGAAAATTCTTAAACTCACTCTTAAAGTCTGGCTGGCCCCACTCTCTGGAACCCCATTCCAGAGTCCCTCCAACTCAACCCCACCCCTTCTTACTCCCTCACTTTCAAAGGGCGCCACAAGACTTACCTCTTTGACTGCGTTTTGGTCATCTTTTCCTCGTCCCCTTGCTCAGGTGCCATCCAGGAGTGTAAAGTGTTTTGAGACATCCTCCCGACGTGAAAGGTGCTATATAAATGCAGATTGTACTGTAGACTGTTGTTTTTCACAATTTGGCAGAAAATGGTGCCACGGGGGAAATTGTGTGTCTCAGGTATCCACTGTTATGATGGCAGTGGAGAATAGTGATTGAAAGCCAGAGAGGTTGGAGGATGACCTGAATGTCTATCAGAACATGGGGTCTCAGAGCTTCTTACATGGAAACAGGTTCTATGTAAAGAAGCTGGTAGCATTTAATAGTGTCTGAGTCTTTCTATCCACTCCCTCCACTCAGCGGGCTCCAGCTTGCTCCATGTCCCCTGCCTGGCCTACCCCACCATCAACGGTCAGGCCTTCAACCTCTATGCCCCCACCCTCTGGAACTTCATCCCACAGCCCCTTCGCCTCACCCCCTCCTTTGTGTCCTTCAAGGCCCATCTCAAGACCCTCCTCTTTGACCCTTCTACCTCAGGTCCAAATCCCTGACTGTCCAGCACCTTGGGACGTCTTCCCGATGTGAAAGACCCTATACAAATGTAATTTGTTGTTGTTGTTTGTGTCGAACTTTAGATGCACACAGCAAGTTGAGGTTGTTTGGCATGAAGAGAATGACAAGACCAGAGATGGCTCAATCCTAACTATTTTCTCTCTTTCTCTCTCTTTCTCTCTCTTTGTCTTTCTGCAGCGCAAAGTCCAACCACCGCTGACCCCTTGCAGCAAGCATACGCAGGAGTCCAGCAATACGCAGGTCGTTAGTATTAACACTTTATCTGCTTCTGACTTCAGGCTCTCCAAACCTCTTTGTCGCTTTCAAAATAATAATCCTTGCATTAGCTTCAAGTTGCTGTGCGCAGATTGGCCTTTTGCATTGGCCTACAAAATAATAATAATAATAATCCTTGCATTTGATATCGTACCTTTTCACATCGTTGAGACGTCTCAAAGCGCTTCACAGAATATACCGTAAAGTGAATTGACTGTCCACTCTTGTCTCTGAGTCTGAAGGTTCTGGGTTCAAGCCCCACATTGGGACTTGGAATCACACAGTCTTGGCTGACATTCCAATGCAATGCTGGAGTATGTTGTATTGTTGGAGGTGCCAATCTTTGGTTGAAATATTAAACCGAGGCACTACCTACCTGTTCAGGTGGACACTAAAGATCCCATGGCACTATTCAAAAAGAAAAGGGAGTTTCTTGCTGGTGTCCTGGCCAACAATCCCCCAAATAAAATTGGTCACTCACTCCATGGTTGTTTGCGGGGTATCGCTATGTGCAAACTGGTTGCTGCGTTTTCGCCCACAAAATACACAGTCACTCCACTTTACAATATATCCTGGGAAGTGCTTGGAGTCGTCTTAATGACGTGATAAGGTGCTGTATCAAATGCAAGGATTATTATTACTGGTTGTGTGAGGTATGTTTTTGGCGGTTGGGTGGGGAGAGGTCAGGCTCAACTGGGCTGTGACCTGCTGTCACTCACTGCCAAGGCTCACTTGGGGCATTGCTGTGCGCAATTGGCTGCCGTGTTCGCCCACAAATATACAGTCAATTCACTTTACAGTATATTCTGTGAAGCGCTTTGGGACGTCTTGAAGACGTGAAAAGCGCTATATCAAATGCAAGGATTATTATTATTATTATTAACAGTGAGTTAAGTGGCCACTTTGGTGGGAGGGCAACCACAGCACTCGTGAAACCACACCCAGCAAGAAGGGCCCAACCATGAGCAGAGAGAGGTGGCGGGGAGAAAATTAGAAGATTGATCAGACACACTCTTTTCAAATAAAGTTTTGAGACATTTCTAGACAAATTTGACAAATTTCTGGTAAGCAGGAGATGTCCCTCCAGGGAGAGAGTGCGCATTCCATTCCAACAGTCTATCTCTGGGATTCCCATGTGCAGTTGGGATGCAGGGAATTCTCAGTTCGGTTTGGATTCTCTTAAGCACGGTGATGGGTTTCTGCGTGTGTCAGACACCCGGCTGACTAAAAAAAAATGTAAATGAAGTCAAAAAGGCCGGGATTTTTTCCGGCTTGGGAAGATGACAAGTGGTGGCACATTGGAAACGGAGAGAATGGAGTTTTACAGAACTCCTGCAGTTCGGATAATGACTTTGAGATGCCTTGGTTGTTTCATTCATTATTGTGCAAAGTCCCCCATCTTGTCGTTTGACCTTTGGATCTGAAATTGTTTTTTGTTCTGTATTTATTGCAATATCCTCCTAAATGAGTATAATGTTTCACAACTTCACATTGGCAATAATTTAATCATTGCATGCCTTCTGAATTGATTTAATTTTAATTGCTTTCCAGATCAGTATGAGAACATTCTTAGTGTCTGTTCCAAGAATGATTACACCAGTGAAGTTCTACTGCAGTCATTTTTCATTGCGGTGTTAAGATTTACACCAGACATTAGGCACACTTCAGAAGCACCTCATCCTGTACCCTCCCAGTAACACTGCAAAAAAAGTATGTTTCAAAGATTGACATGTTATTCTATATTAGAGAAAAAGAGAGAGAGAGACATGTTATAGTGAGAGGATGATGTATCTTATGTACGTGAGAGAGATTTGTTTGATTCTTACTCATCCCTGAGTGGGACTTGATAGTTCACCAAAAATACACAGTCACTACACTTTACAATATCTTCTGCAAATCCAACAGGAGAGGAATCTCTAAAACAATGACTGCAGGATTTGGTGAAATAGAAAACGGACAGGAGGACATTTTAGTGATGATGATAATAATAATAATCATTCCAATAATCCTTGATTTAGCACCTTTCACATTAGGATGAAGTCTCATGTAAATTGCAGTCAAAGTACACCAACTAATTTGTGCAAAGCAACGTCCGACAAACAACCATACAGTGAGTGACCAATTTTGTTTGGGGGATTGTTGGCCAGGACACCAGGAGAAACTGCCTTTTCTTTTTGAGTAGTGCATGGTACCTTTAACGTCCCCTTGAACACAGTTTAGCATCTCACCCAAATGATGGCACTTCCGGCAATGCAGCACTCCCCTAGAGTCGGCCTAGAATATGTGAGTTTAAAGCTATAACTTAGGGCTTAAGACATTGCAGCAGATGTTGCCCCGAGGCCAGTGATAATTATTGGTCGCTTTGGACAGCAGTTTGGGTTGATGTGATAATTACTGTCAGTAGTAATATCACATGCCGTAATTTCAACCCAAATGTTGTAATTTATCATTCCAAGGACAGAACAAAACTAACAGTGCTGTTACCCTCCCCACCGTGTACACAATCTCGTTATCGTAGCGCTTGCCTACCTCTCTGATCTTCTCCTACCCCACTCCCCTGATCGCTCCCTCCGCTTGGCTAACTCAGACTTACTGTGGCTCCTGCCCCCTCTACCCCAGCATCATCATTCAGTCACTACACTGTAATATAGCCATGTGAAAGGTACTATATAAATGCAAGTTATTGTTATCTATGGCTATTCTTTACCTCCCTCCCCTCCCCCTCACCATAGAAAAAGTACCTGGAGTTGCTACTGATTGCAGACAAGCTCACATCTGTCGGGTTGATGAGGAATTCATGTCCCCCCTCCCCTTCCTCCCCCACCGACTGTTAGTGTTATTTTCCGCACCGAAATAGGAGAGAGAGAGAGAAAGAGAGAGAGAGAGAGAGAGGAAACTGCAAGAAGATTATAATTGGTTCGGTTTGTTCAGAAAATATTGTGAATTAGGAAATGCCAGCTGGTTCTTCCCGTACGTTCCTCTAATTATACTTTATAATGTAAAAAAAAACGTTACAAGAAAATTAATGTTTACAGATGCTACCTGGGAGAAGGCGCCTGGCATCTCTGAGAGCTGCCGAAAGTCTTCATTACCCGAAGGACGAAATTGATGGTTAACAGTTGGCGTCCTGAATGATTGACAGCTCAGTGTTCAGGGTGCGCTCCCTTAAATCCATATTTCCACACAATCGATTTTTTGTGCAAAATCCATAATTTATTTTCCCTGACGCTGCAAAGTCTGCGGCTTGCATCTCAAACTTTGGGATTATTTCCCCTCTCTCTCTCTCTCTCTCTCTCTCGCTCTTTAAAGTTGAAAATTGCTTTGCCCTGGATACCTACTAGACCATACAGACAGTCCATCAAATACAATTAACCTTGAACAGGAAGTGTCAAGATAAAAGAGATTGATTGACAGATTGACTTTACCGCCTGAATACGAGGCAATGAAGTGAGCAGCTAGAATTGTATTAATCTGTCCATAGAAATACCCTGATCTATGCGGGACGAGGTGACGGGGCGGGGGGTCTGTAGTTATTCCAATGGAGAAGTGGGGGTTGGGGTTATCTTACACTAATCACGATAAGCAGAGATCATTTTGCTGGAGGTTTACAGTGATCAGTATAAGGTGGACTCACCAGGCTCCCTCCACCCCCCACCCCCCGCCCCCTGCCATGACCATCATCAAGTGTTTAACAACATATAACACAGGGATAAAATAAATTGTGTTCATAACCTGTTCATCAGGTGTCAGCCTGGCTCAGATTTGCTCTCTGATCTCTCTGATGTACTATTGTTGAGGCAGATCTTCCGTTAAAAAAAATTGCAGCTTTGTTTAGTTTAGTTTATTCTGCTGGAGACATACGGCATCCTGTACCTTGTTAACTACTGCCAAACAGCACAATGCTACTCACCAGACCAGTCCTGCTCTGTAACTAGCTTGCTGCACATTGGCTGCTTGGCTTTCTTCATCTTGCCAGGATTTTCTCGGTTTCGCACAGGGAAACATGTACCGAGACAGTAGAAGAAGAGCTTTATCCTTGGAATTGAAGGGCAATTTCAACATAGATATCTGGAAGTATTTCTTTATCTGGAGGATAATTAGCAACTGGAATAGGTTGCCAGGAAGGGTGGTTGAGGCCAGGGACACTTGACGCTGTGATTCGAAAACAGAAGGGTGGGTGTTATGGAAGGATGAGATCAAATGGGCCAAAGGGACTTCTTCATCCAAACCTATCTTGTAGTGTGAGAAGACATCCTACACTTCCATACGCACCCCATCCTCCAAGTCAAGTCACCTTCCACAGACATCGTGGACAGAAACCAATCCTTTTCTTTGTCTAATGCATCACCGTGCACCGTGTCCTCTGATACTGTTCTCACCCCTTTAAAAACCACTGTCATCACTTCTATCCTTAAAAAACCCTCCTTGGACCCTTCTCTACTCCCTAACTACCGCCCCATCTCCAACCTCCCCTTCCTCTCCAAGATCCTGGAACAAGTTGTTGCTTCTCAGCTTCGCTCCTTCCTCTCCCGCCATTCCCTTCTCGAACCCTTCCAATTGGGTTTCTGTGCCGCCCACAGCACAGAAACAGCCGTGGTCAAAGTGACAAATGACATTCTGTCCATCTGCGACCAGGGCTCCTTTTGCCTCCTCATACTCCTTGACCTCTCTGGTGCTTTCGACACCATCGACCATGCTATCCTCATCCACCGCTTCTCCTCTCACCTCAACCTCCATAGCGCTGTCCTTGATTGGTTCAGATCGTACCTCTCACACCGCCTGCACTTCATGTTCTCAAACGGCTTCTCCTCTAGCTCCTGATCTTGTGCGGTGTTCCTCCGGGCTCTGTCCTTGGTCCCCTCTTCTACGACATCTATATGCTCCCTCTTGGTGACATCATCCGCAGACATGGGGTCAACTTCCACGTGTATGCGGATGACACCCAACTCTACCTCTCTGCCTCCACCCTTGACTCCAGGACCACTGTTGTGCTGACAGAATGTTTGTCAGACATCAAGTCCTGGATGAGAGCTAACTTTCTTCAGTTGAATGTCAACAAGACTGAGGCCCTCCTGATTGGCTCCCGTCAGCGCCTCCTCACCTCAGGCACTGACAACGTCACCATCCATGGTTGCACACTCCACCTTACTAAGCCATTCCGGAACCTTGGGGTCTTGTTTGACCCTCAATTATCCTTTCTACCCCAAATCTACGCCATGACCCGCTCTGCCCTCCCCCACCTCCGCAACGTCGTCCGGCTCTGACACTTTTGCCTCTGCATACCTGAGAGATAATGTCATGGCAACACAAAATGCCATGCTGGAGACCTTTTTATTCAAATTTAAACACTGGTGGAAAGGTTAACACAGAGTTAATCCACAATTTATTAAATATTACTTATTAAGTTTCAGTGCAGTTCAAAATCATCAGGGAAAAAGTAAGATCCTCGCATGCACAGAGCAATCTGGATGAGGAAGAAGCCACAGACAAAAGGACCACACTCAGATAAATGCTTCTCACAAGCCTCACAATAGAAAGACATGATAATAAATGATATAAATTACAGGTGCCCATAACTATAACCTGGATTCAATTCCCTGGCAGAGCAAATTGTTAAGCAAGTTTCCTTACTCCACACACCTGTGATATAATTAATCCTTAATCTTTCCATAGCCTTTGATTATCATTTCGTAGCAACACAATCCAGCATAGTTACAACAAACCGTATTCTTATAATACTCTCATAGCAGGACCGCCATGCCTAATCATACTGATCAATGTGTTCATGAGTTTAAAATACAGAGGAAACTAGGGAAATGTTTCATATCATTCCTGCAGTCACACCTGACTGCATTGGTTGCAGATATTAGGTGATCCGTGATTAAATAACATTTCCAAACAAATTGAAAGGGATTTACTGGGTGGTTTGCTTATTTACCTGCAAGTTAAAGTAAAACCGGTTCCCAGGCAGGGCAAGACCTTAGACAAGTCTTGACTCCACACACCTCTGTTTATTTAGCATTAAGTAGGAACCTGATTGTGAGTCGATCCGGGGATAATAATCCCTCCACCCAAAAATTGGGTCATTCAATCCATGACTATTTGTGGGAAACTGCTGTGCGCAATTGGCTGCCATGATTCACCCACAAAATACACTTTACACTATACTCTGCTAAGCGCTTTGAAACATCTCAATGACATGTTAAGGCGCTATATATTGAATGCAGGGATTATTATTATTATTTGTAAAAACGCAATGCTTTGTGGAGTCCTGTAGCTCAGTGGTTAGAGCACTCGCTTTGCAAGCGAGAGACCTGAGTTCAATTCCAGGCAGAGGGCGAAACCTTGGGCAAGTTTCCTTACTCCACACAGAGCCTAATAATAATCCCTCCAAAACAAAACAATAATAAATTGGTCATTTTCAATCTACGACTGTTTGTGGGACATTGCTGTGTGCAATTGGCTGCCGCGTTCACCCACAAATATACAGTCAATTCACTTTACAGTGTGTTCTGTGAAGCGCTTTGGGACGTCCTCCCGATGTGAAAAGCGCTATATCAAATGCAAGGATTATTATTATTATTATTATGCTCACCTGAAGTACTATCTCTTACACTGTGTTACAGCTGCCTATCCTGCTGCGTATGGCCAGATCAGTCAAGCCTTTCCACAGCCTCCTCCTATGATCCCCCAGCAACAGAGAGAAGGTAAGTTTCACATGGCATTGCAGTACACAAGAGAGAGGTTTCTCTCCATCATCAACAAGGTGACTGGATTATAGAGGAGAAATTAAGCTATGAGTGAGTTACAGACTGGAACGTGTGTTTGTGTATTCAAATAAGGATAAAATGAACATTTTTTAAAAAAGGTTTTCAAAGTAGTTGATTGTTGGTAAGTAAAGTCTAATGCTGAAATAATGGGATTAATTTGTTACTTTGAAATCAAGTGAGTTGAAGAAGCCTGCAGGTTACTATCCGGGCTGGGGATAATTAGGGGTTGTGGGGTGAGGAAATTCAGCGAGGAAAAGCGAGAGCAAAGACAATTCAGCCAGTCCAACCCAAATAGCCCATTCTTCTTCGATGCTTTCTTGTTATTGTTATAGCCAGCGGTGAAACTCCCGCTGTCGGCATGTGTTTTGAATGTAGAAGTGAAGTTTATCGCTGACAGGTTATGCCATTACAAGATCTAACGTACACTGTGTGCTGCCTAATCATGTACTTCACTACAGTGAGCAACACCTCTGTGAATCCCTCGATGCAATCACAGTAACAATGCCACAGAGGTTAGATTATAAAATGTGAGCAATTTGTAATAGCGAACACCTTTTTGACTCACAATGTCCTGCTAATGTTGTTCAGGATGTAACTTTCAGACACTTTGACCTACTGTAAGACTGAATAAACCATTTCAACCTGGCTACAGGCCACCCATTCCTTCATTATGCAATGACTGTGTATTTCGGAGGTAAATGCATTGTGATGTAGGTGAGATATTTTGACATTATAGGCGCTGTATCAAATGCCAGGATTATTATTTTTATATCAAAATGCAAGTATTATTAACACTTACCCCTGGCAATGGGGAAAGTCCACGGCCAAAATAGGAAAGCCACAGTTTTGCTAGTAGATTGGGTGCTGTGGTTTCCAATGCAAACAAGGTATTGACACAGCAACAAGATCCTGAGGGAAATGTAAGAGCCACGTAGGAACAGGAGTGGGCCATTCAGCCCCCCGAGCCTGTTCCACCATTCTATTTGATCATGGCTGATCTGTATCTCAATTCCAATTCCCCACCTTTTCTCCATATCCCTCGATGGCATTACCTAACAAATATCTATCAACCTCAATGAAAATTTTGAAAATTCCACTTGAGACTCTTAGCGGAGAGAAGTCTAGATTTCCACAGTCCTTTGTGTGACAAAAATGCTTCTGGTTTCACTCCTATCAGGCCTAGCTCTAATTTGGTTCTTCCATCTGATAACACCTGTGGGGCGTTTCGTTCACAAAATGTACAATCAATTCACTTTACAGTATATTCTGTGAAGTGCTTTGAGACGTCTCAACGACGTGATATATATCAAATGCAAGGATTATTACCCTGCAGGGCCACACAGTATAAAACCAATTGCAAGGTTCGTCCTAACAAAATTACAGGTCTGAATATTATTTATAATGTACTGGACTGACCAGCCTATAAGAGGATGTTGTATCAGTTGGACACAGAAAGGATCAAATGCAGGACCAGTGGGTGTCACTGGGAAGCTTTGACAGCAATTTTATTGGTATTTCCACATCTTTAATTCCCGGGAAATGTCACAGGGACCATGAACCTCTGTGAAAAGGCTGCATTAGCATTAACAATTCATCCTTGGCAAGTATGATAATAACATATTAGCCAAGGGAATACTGGTTAGCAAATATTCATTAGGACTCAATTTACTATTAAAAGGAAGAAATAGTGAGTTCCCATCATTCAGATGAAGCCAAGGCTAATACATTTTAATGAAGTGAAAATGGGTTGCTGTCAGCTCCCAGACTGACTTGTTCATTTTAAGTTTTGTCAGTGATGTGAATGAATAAATGCCGTTAATGCCATAGTAATCTGCAGGGTCACAATGAAAACTTCACTCTTCAAATGCAATGGAAGACTTCATAAATTTTGAAACGCATTTTGAAGTAAAATCAAATTCAAACCTTGTCAAGTACAATTGAAAACATTTAGCGCAGCAAATTGCATTACATTACTTACCCTGAGTCCACCTTTCCCCATTCATTCGTGCTTTGCTCTTCTACCACTATCTGCGTGCCCAGCCCAGCGATAAATACATTTCTCTTTCACTGTCAGAATCAAGCCAACCATCTGTGGCAGTCTCGGTAATCCAGTTCCTGATCCAGGCGGGTACGCAGTATTCCCGGGCACTGCTGGTGACGGCACAGCCATCCTGGCTCATCGGCAGGACTTGGAAGGGCAGACCAGTCATTGGGGGCAAGGAATCTTCCCACCTCAGCTCCTATTAACCCTACAAGCCGAAGCCCTAATGGGCAGTGTGTTCCTGTCTGAATAAGCAACGGGGAAGCTTGCCAGACAGTGCTATCAATAGCAAACTGGTTAGATTGCTTTCAATGGCACACTATGCTGTTTCAGCTGGTTGGACTCCGACAGTATCCCAACACATACACACTCCAGTATTTTAGTGATACTCCATAATCCCTCCAAAAACCAAAAACAATAATAAATTGGACATTTTCAATCTACGACTGTTTGTGGGACATTGCTGTGCGCAATTGGCTGCCGCGTTCGCCCACAAATGTACAGTCAATTCACTTTACAGTGTGTTCTGTGAAGCGCTTTGGGACGACCTCCCGACGTGAAAAGCGCTATATCAAATGCAAGGATTATTATTATTATTATACTGTTAGCGACTAGTACCTACCTGTGACAAAGGTTTAAGGCAATGTTCATTTGCAATGGGATTTTCCTAATTCAACAAAGGCAACTTATAGAGGAGACACTCAACCTTGGTCTAAACCTACACAGGTATTTTAACATTTTGTTTCTTTTTAAAAAGTCTACAGAAAACCTGTTTCAAGATTAAAACTGCCCACACAATGTATCCTGAGCATGTATTTTGCCCACAAAATATATAGCCAATTCACTTAACAGTAGACTCTGTGAAGCGCTGTGAGATGTCTCGACAACGTGATATATCAAATGTCAGGGTTATTGTTATAAAACAAACGCAAAATACTGCAGATGCTGGAAATCTGAAAACAAAAACAGAAGTCGTTGGGAACACTCAGCAGGTCAGGCAGCATCTATGGAGAAAAGAAAGTGAGTCAACGTTTCGTTTCTGACGAAGGGTCGTGGACCCGAAACGTTGACTCACTTTTCTTTCTCCATAGATGCTGCCTGACCTGTTGAGTGTTCCCAGCGACTTCTGTTTTTGTTTTATTATTATTATATATGTTTCGACGTCTTTGGGAAACTGAATGTGCTACTTCTTATTCATGTTATCCACTTGTGTGCCATCTGTCACCTTTCCAATGTGGTACAATGCTTTCTCTGCAGGTCCGGAGGGCTGCAACCTGTTTATCTATCACCTCCCTCAGGAGTTCGGAGACGCTGAGCTCATGCAAATGTTCCTGCCTTTCGGTAATGTCATCTCCTCAAAAGTGTTTGTGGATCGAGCGACAAACCAAAGTAAATGCTTTGGTGGGTACAGATAAAAAAAAGTTCACTTGCTATTCTGTGAAAACATGGTTTTAAAGAAAATACATTTTATTGTCAATACACTGAAATAATTATGTCTATAAGTGGGTCAATGCAGCGCGCGAAGGGTTTAGCTCTTTTGTGAATTAACGTTTAACCTTTCCCCTCCGAATACCAAACCTCCCTTTGCTTCAATTAACAGATTGCTTTACTGAGAAAAAAATGTATAGACTGCTGAGGGCAAAGGGCTGAATTGTATTTAACACTACAATATTCTTGCTTTGCTTTTAGATTACCAGAAACTCTTGTACGTAGACTTGCAGAATATTGTATTTCCTTGAATGGAACAAAGGTCTTGAATATTTCCGTGTTCATACAACTAGAGTTTATGGAGCAAATCCCCAAATTATCCAAATCATACGAACCCACAGCTTCAAAATAGAAATGCTTTCTGATCGGTTTACTAGTTTGAGATGGTTGCAATATGCTGGCCTGAAATTCGAGTGAAACTGAATTGAACTGGAGTTGTTTTCTAGTGGAAAACCACAAGACTTCGCCAAGTGAACTTAACTCTTCTTTATTTGGTTCCTTGATGGTGAGGGTGTTACTGAGAACAAAGCCACCCTTTTCTATTACGTTTGATTTTGCCCACAAAATATACATTCAATACAGTATATTCTGTGAAGCGCTTTCTCTCAACGTGAGAAAGCGCTATATCAAATGCAAGGATTATCATTATTATGATACAGAATAGAGAATGGCGACCTTTCCCATTTGGATTGAGCTCCTATTTGACAGAAAGGAAATTTGTCCATCCCTAAGAACAATGTCAATTGCCCCACTCCACCCCCCGCCACCAACCCCACTCCCCCAAGGGAGTCCTTTAGGCTGTATGGTTAAAGTAGCCAAAACGGTATTTTCCTTAATAATTTTAAAAATGACCTCTGTCCGCTGGAATGTTTTACTTATCCAGACCTCTATAGTTGTGCTACTTTCCTGCACCTTTTATCCTTCAAAAACAGTCAAAAATCCTCAAACAAAATATTCCCCACGAGATGAAAAGTAATTCTAGAGCCAAATTGAACAGAATAAACAAATTAAACGTCCACCTTTTTACACTGGGAGAGAGTCACAGCTCTTTTTACATTGTATTTAGTCCCATATCAGCTGTCTCCAACAAATGGGTAAAACATCTGTTCTGGAGCGATACATAGAGTATGGCACGGAAACAGGCCATTTGACCTGACTTGGTACTTGGTCAATACCATGCTGAACCAATTGGTTGTATTCAAGGAAATAAGACAATCGTTGATGAGATTAACTTGTACATAGTGGAACTCCCATCAGCGCTCTTCCAACACACATTGATTGCATCAAAGTTTCAATGTCTTTTGAAACTACGTTCAAAAAAGACCCATCTGCCAGGTCAGTAGTTTTGCCTGGGTCCCACTGTAAACCCATCCACCATTTAATGGCCTGATTAATGAGGGCAATATAGTTTTTTTGTAGTATTGCAGAATGACCTACTATGCTGTGTAAACATATTTATTGCAGAGAGGAATATAAATAAAAGAAAGCATAAAATATTTCATAATTTATTATTAAATTGTTTCATTGAGTCAACAGTGCTAAAGCTTAGCACGTTCAGCAGTCAAACCTTCCTTCAGTTGAATTGTTGCGACAAACGCTCAATGGTTTCCTTGACATTTTAAGATGTATGTTTGTTAAACTGAGGAACGGAGATTTTTAATATATGTTTTACTGTAATATGGGATTTTCGACACCTTTTTGTATGGCATCATATGGTACATTTGTCACTTAATAAAAAATGCAAAGAACAAAGATATCTCTAACCAGTTAAATGTTATGTCGGTCTGTTCTGCGAGTCCTGACAACTGTAAACTGAGCAAGGGCTGAAAGTGACATCCAGCCTCTGTTATTTTTCAATCTTGTTCTGTGGTCTCTCTTTGCTGTGTTCTTAAAGCTGGTCTTCAGAGGCTGCTTACGCCTGTGTTTCTCACAGGACATTGCTCTTTCCCAAGTGTAAAGGAAGATAGGGTGGTGCATTCTTTCTTTCATCTCTTTTTCTTCTCCTGTGAAGCTCAACTGGACCTAAATGGTTTATGTCTAACTCTTACTCAAAATATTTCAAATTTCGCCCACACGATATAATCAATCCACTTCACAATATATTCTGTGAAGCGCTTTGTGACATCTCAACGATGTGATAAGACGCCATATAAAACGCAAGGATTATTATTAATTATTATTATTATACAGTTCCACCACATAGCAGTCCTGTAACCTTTATTTGGGGACGCTTCCATATTGCATCTGTTGTTTAAACCCTGTGAAGACTGCAGGAGCTTTGGTGCACCAAAATGCCAAATTCCCTGCTCAGCTTATGAGCTGAGCTCCAGTCCTCCTCCGTGCTACACCAGCATCAAAAGCTCAGTGACGGCAGGAGAGGGATTTGAGAATTGTAAAGTAGTTCAAATTGTCTTTTGTTGTCCTCAAAGGGTTTTTAACAGAAAAATTAAACAAGCCTATGCCGTTTACGCCAACCGCAATTTGCAACTTAAAAAGACCAGAATGAAGATTAAAAATGCCACATTGGCTGGATGTTCTCTGTCGGGAAGGATTATTTGTGGGATGTGCAGTGACCTAACTTGTTACTTGATTGTTAACACATCTCCATGTCTTTCCTTGTGGCTATTTTCTGTCACCACCTCCACCCACCACCCATCTCTCCCAACCCCCTCCAGCACCACTATCACCACGCCCATCCTGGACCCCATCTCCGCTTCACTTTCTTTTCTTAAACCTTTGAATAAGCCAATATAAATACTATGTAAAGCTCATGCCTTTAAGTGATTTATTATTTTGCCCACGGCTCTGTTTATCTCAGAAAAAGAGATCCCCATTGGGAGCTCTGTCCTTTCGTGCATTGTCAGAAGCACAGGTGTAACCGTTTCTTTTGTGTATCTCAAGCTAAGTCGAGGCTCATACTTCAAAGTCGAGGTGGGGGTGGGGGGTGTTAGTGGGGGTGGGAATGAGATGGTTAAATGAAGCAAAATGAGGAATAAGGCAAGCAGGCAGGTAACAGGGACTGAACAGATCACTCTGGTAATAGAAGGGCCCCAAGCCCTAGCTCCAATCAATATGCACCTAATACTTTCCAGATTTAGGTAAGAAGGTTGTGTCCCTCCAGGGAGACAGTGCACATTCCATTCCAATAAATATCTCTGGGATTTTCATGTGTAGGTGGGATGCCTGAAGTGCTCAGTGTGGTTTGGATACTCTTAAGCATGGTGATGGGTTTCCGCATGTGTCAGACACTTGGCTGACCCCCAAAACATTGTAATAGAAGTTTATTGGGATGAGTATTATTGTATTTGTCAAGAATCAGTACATCACTTATATTAATGAAGTTGCCTAATAACTGACTAATGTGATGTGATGATTCACTGTCTCACCGATGCCAGTAACCTTCGAATTAGAACCTTTCTAGCCAGTGTAGTAATTAATTGTCAAATATTGCTCACATTATCCCCCCACTCCACCAGCATCCAATTTCTCACAGTTACTTACCTAAATGCCAAACCTGTATTTGCATTGAAGAAGGGCAATGTATAAGTGCAAGTTGCTGCTGTTGTTGAACTGTAGAACGCAATTAGATATAACCAATTAAATTGGCTCCATTTCTGATCACTTTAGAATCCTGCTGAGAGTAGTTAAGAATAGATAAACGGGTCAAGTTTGTGGCATTTTGTAACAGGATTTTTTAATAAAAATCGCATCTGACCCTTTGGAATTTAAACACTCCCAGACTCTACCCCGCATGAAGGGAGCTGTATGACTGCAAGTTGTTGCAACTCCACTCGAATACCAAGCTTAGTTTTGGATTTCCATGAAGCAGGGATCAGGCAGAGTAACCACAGGGTTTGTTGACCCCAGGGTTTGTTGTTTACAAATCCTCTTGCCAATCTCACAAATTGGTAACTGCTTAGGCAAAGGGGTTAGTAATATAAGTGACTGCCTGATTCTTGACAAATAGAATGACAATACTCATCCCAATAAGCTTCTACTGCAATTTTTTTTAGGTCAGTTGGGTGTTTGACACATGTGGAAATCCATCACCTTGCTTAAGAGTATCCAAACTGTGATGATGCAAACTCTAAGACAGGAATATTTCACACTGCAGAGAGCTGTAATTCCTCTCGGAGTTTCATGTAGGCCAATGTGCGATTATAATGGGGACATCCTGTTAGACTCAAACAGGGGGAATATCACTGCTCTTACTGCTGGCAGCAGTTCTGTCATTCCAAGCTTTATTTATACTGTTTTACAAACAGAACATTGCTTTGTGAGCCTAGTTGATTATTCTGTGACTGCATAGATTCTCAGGTGTCCGTGACTAGCTTTGCGTGAGAGCGATTCACTAATAGAGGCTGCTTTGTGACAAGAACTGATGAACAACCCAATGTATTGTCAACATTGCTTCAAAGAGCATTGGCAGATCATTTAACCCCATTTCCATACCTTTCCTCCATACCTGTTAGAACCCTTGTTTCCCAAGTAACTATCCATCTCCTTTTTAAACATCCCGATTGATTCTATCTCTACTGCGTTCTGGAGCAGTGATTCCACATTTCCACAGCCCCTTCATTGCTTTTTGTTTAGTTCTAAACTGACCAGTGGGGTGAGTGGGTGGGGGGAGGGGGAGAGCGTGCCATAGCTGGCAATTCAATTTCCTGCACCGACACAGTTATGTGCAGTGAAGCAGATCTAGGGTGAACACTTCTGTCCTGATCCCACTATGCAGTAATGTCAAAGCTGGTCAGATTCCAGCAGTTATCCCAACTCATACTCTGGGGTCCCCAAGCCTTGGCTCTTGCCACCCTGCGCCTAATACTTTCCGGAATTAGGTAAACTGGTTACGTCCCTCCAGGGAGAGAGTGCACATTCCATTCCACAATCTATCTCTGGAATTTCCATGTGTCGTTGGGATGCATAGGAATTCTCAGCTTGGTCTGGATACTCTTAAGCATGGCGATGGGTTTCTGCATGTGTCAGACACCCAGCTGACCAAAAAAAAATCAAAGCATAAAGTAGTTGTGCTTAGTTTGAATGGAACATTAAAAACACAGTCAATGTGATTCCTGCAAATGTTGTGTGGGACCTAGGAAATAAATAGTGGTTACAGCGAGGATTGCTAATAGTTTCATCAATCATTTTAGCACTTTGCACAAAAAATTTTTTTAAAGAATACTCAGTCTGAATGATTTAATAAGGATCATGCCTGAGTATTTTTGGCAGGATAGTTTAATATGTTCCCCTGCGCTTGTCGTTTTTGTAGCATCTAATTACAGTACTTTCCAGCGATTAAATGAGAATGAAGTGGCAATCTTCATATCAGTTAGGTGTGACCTCCAATCCAGTGTACAAAGTTATCTGTTGAGCACATTGAAAGTTTCAAACTTGGAGCCGGTTGAAGCCGACTTGCAGCAACTCATCTATGGGGCAATTTATCTCAAATTGCGGTGCTGAGTGCATTGTCCTGCAAGTGCAGGTCTACAGAGCCTGAAGTCCATGCATGTCTCTCTCTTTCTCTCTCTGTTCCTCCAGATCTTTGGTTTCAGGTCCAGTTGCTCACTGTACACACTCCTGATCCTTTCATCTGAGTACGTGGTGCTGCTCATCTCTCATTAACTTTAAGGTCCACTGTGTGTGTGCGCGCGTGCATGATGCCTGAGTGGGTGAGGTATTTTTCTTTCAACTTTCGTTTGTACATAGAAACAGAGTGAAATCCTCAAACGAGAGACTGGTTAGATTGTAATTGGATATAATGGTGTGAATGCTGCCACAGATATGTGTCACGTGATATTCCCTATTGCTCATGTCCTCTGTACGCACATTCTGACACAGGCCTGGTCTGATATATTTTTCTTAATGCACTGAAAAGCACCAAAACCAGTTTGTAAAGGTAAGAGTCCGAACCGAATGTATTTTGAACCGTGGATCTTACGTACCAACAAATGCTTGATTTCTTTCTGGCTTATGCGACTCCTGTCACTACATGTCTGTCTCATGAAACTGAGAGCAAGTGTAGTATTTAGTTGGCGAACCTAATGAAGTGATCCTGCTCTGCACATCCCAATATACAGCAACGATGCAAAATTATGTTTCAACCTTGTAAGATTGGACCAAATTGATTTCTGACTCCCCAGATAAGATTTAACATCAAAATACCAGGTTGATTTGGAGGACCTTTTGCCTGTCTCATCACAGGATGTTATTCCTTCCTCGTTTTGTGCTGTAACCACACTCCCTTCTCTCCCTCCTCTCAGTCTATGAATAACGGTGGGAAACAATATTGCAGCAGCTCAAATTACAACAAGCAGAATAAGTGTCAAGAATTCTGGATTTGCACAAATGTTGATCTGAATTCTGATGCTGGCAGCATTGCTTTTATCTGAATCAGGTCCGACTGTAGGTAAGGCCTTGAGAGGAGGAGAGGGCGAGGGTGAGTTTTGAAAGCACAACAGAAGTCAACTTGGTCCATCCTATATCTAAAAATGTGTGATTACTAGGCAACGGGTTGTTAGAAACATGTTTGTAAATGACGCTTTTTAAATGCTGTGGGACTTGAACTCTTCGGAGCTTTAACTCTTTGTCCTCCCCAGAAAAGATTTCCATTCAAGTGGTTTTCTTTTTTTTCCTGGAAAGAATAGCCTGGAGATGGCAAAGGATTAAGGCAAGGTCTTCCACACATACAAGCATGAATTGTTGTATTGGTGCTTCCTGGCCCACGAAGTTGTAAAACTAATGTTTTCGGCAGGTTTTGTGAGTTTTGACAATCCTGCCAGTGCCCAGGCTGCCATCCAGGCAATGAATGGCTTTCAGATCGGCATGAAGAGGCTGAAAGTACAACTCAAGAGGCCAAAGGATGCCAACCGCCCTTACTGAACCGCTGAAACCGAACTGAGACCTGAGAGCTATTACAGGTAATTTTCAGCCTTACCGATGGTGTTTTATTATTGTATCACGTCTATGCTGCAGTCGTGCCTGTTTTAGCAAAATACCGTTTGCATTTTTAACCCCCAGTGCCTGTCATTTGTGTGAAACGGATCCAATTCCATGCTGACTTTACTCAAGATTCGATTGGAAAGCTAAAATCTCCCGCAGTCTTCGCTTAACCAAAGCAAGAGACTGCTGTTAATGCGGGTCAAGCTGGTCGCTATTGGTTCCTTTTGCTAGTCAACAGGCTGAGAGCCAAAGGAACCTATAGATAACGTATTCAGCTACAGTCAGGACTTGTGGATGTAAATTCATTCCCTGGGGATGTTTTCTCAGGTGTTAGTGGTCCTATTATGTTGAAATCCACAGAGCGTTCCTTAATTGGACCATTTGATGAATGGAAGAAATCATTTCCTCCAGGGTGTCCACAATACCAGCTTTCCCTTGTGTATTTCCATCCCAAGGCCTCACAACCCAGAATTGTTAATAGTCTGAAATGTTGCTCACGATGTGCGAATTCATAAGAGGGGGGCGGGGGCGGGCAAATTTGGATGTTAAGCTCATGCATAAAGCACTTGTGATTGGGTCAGACAGCGGATATTTGGTGTGTGTTTTGGCCGGGGTTGGTTAAGAGCTGTAACTGAACAATTAATGACCCATTTCTGGTCCTGGATCTTACGTAAATGATTTCTTTCTTATTAGTTGTTCTGTATCATTATACCAGGGGCATTTGCAGGAACTGATGTGTTGGACAATATAACTCGGTAGTTAGCGAGGTTAATGACTACATGGACTCTATTATTCCTGCCATTCCTCTTGCAGTCCAGTTCAATAGATCAGCTGTTATTAACAGAGCAGTACTTACTCCAAAGCTATTAAGCAAAGCCCCGGCAATCAGCTTCCTATAGCTGACTGAGCGGCTACACAGCTGATAACAGCTTGTACAGAAACCAATGCATGTAAACGTGTGACATTCCTAAACACAATTCCTCCCATTAACTCTCGTTGTTACTTATTTAGGGAACGTTTATCAGCTGAGCAGAAATCGCAGTTGAAGCATATCCTTAAAACCAGTGCTACGTGCTTGTCCCTCATCAAAGACCTATAAACAGCTCCACATTTCGTGAGTCACATAGTCTAAGCTGACATTCCAGAGCAGTGTGGGGAGTGATGCATTGATGGAGGTGCCCATCTTCGAATGAGATGTTAAACCGAGGTCCCGTCTGTTCAAAAAGAGAAGGGAGTTTCTCCCAGTGTCCTGGTCAACAATCTCCCAAATAAAATCGGTCGGTCATTCATTTCATGGCTGTTTGTGGGACATTGCTTTCCATAAATTAGCTGCCGAGTTTGCCTACAAGACATGCTCCACATTAAGCCCCGTGAAATACTTTAAGGCACCTTCCCAACGTGAAAGGTGCTACATTAAATATAAGGATTATTATTATTTTTGTAATATAAATTTCATCATATCAGGAGTTTCATTATTTCAGGAGTTTACTAATTGAATTGTGATTGGGGTCCAATTTGAGATAATCACAGCAAGTTGCTTTGGCAGCTTTTGGAAATTGTAATAAATCATTTTGCAATTATTACAAACTAAATGATTAAAAATAGCATTTCCCGTCCAAATTGCAGCTACTGTAAGTTTTGAATATCACAAGTTATACCTGTGGTGGCAATGGAACAATGAGCTCTGTTGGAACTCACCACATCTCCCATGAAATATACAGTCAATATATTTGCAGTATATTCTGTGAAGCGCTTTGAGACGTCTCGAAGACATGATAACGCGCTATATCGAATGCAAGGATTATTATTGTTAACACCCACTCTAAGGGTCTCGCTACCCCTCAGAACGTTCTGTAGTCACTGCTTCTTTAGGACGTGAGTCAAGATTTTCAAGAAGTGGGTGTGACACCGACTGTTTTGTGCAGCCGAACTTTAAAAAATACGTTTAAAAGAAGCAGATAGTACAGCAACAAAGGTGAATTCCTTTAGGGCTGTGATCATTACAGTAACAGCATTTAGCCTGAAATTTTCACCTTCAATGCCCTCCCCAGCCTTGCTCCTCCCTACCTCTGTAATCTGCTAATGCCATATAAACCTGTCCCCTCCCTCCGCTCAGCGGGTTCCGGCCTGATCCATGGTCCCCATCCAGCTGCCCCACCATTCAGCCTCTTTGCCCCCATCCCACAATCCCTTTGCCTCGCTCCCTCCCTTACCTTCTTCAAGGCCTGTCTCAAGACCCTCCTTTTCGACCGCACCTTAGGTCACCGTCCTACCCCTACCCTGCTTGTCCTCCTTGCCCTCTGAACAACAACAACAACTTGGATTTATATAACGCCCTCCATGCTGGACGGCGTCTCAGAGAGCTTTACACTAACGGATCCCGGGACCGAGCCAGGGGGAGGAGGAGGAAGGTGACCAAAGGCGCAGTCGAAAAGAAAGGTCTTCAGCAGAGACCTGAAAATGGGAAGGGAGGGAGGGAGACAAAGGGAGTGAGGAAGGCAGTTTCAGAGCCTCGGGGCATAGTGGATTAAGGCACGACTGCCAAGGATGGAGCGGAGGACTTGGGGGATGAGGAGGAGGCCAGACCTGGAGGAATGAAGGCAACGGGTACTGTTTTGAGGAGAGAGGCGGTCAAAGAGGTAGGGGGGTACAGAGGAGTCCAGGGACTTGAATACGAGGGTGAGGATCTTGAAGTCGATCCTCTCTGGGACAGGCAGCCAGTGCAGTCTGGCAAGGACTGGGGTGATCGGGGAGCGGGGTTTCGTGCGGGTGAGAATGCGGGCGGCAGACTTCTGAATGAGTTGGATTTTATGGATGGTAGTGGATGGGAGACCGGCGAGGAGGGCGTTGGAGTAGCCAAGAGGTGACAAAGGCATGGACCAGAGTTTCAGCGGCTTTTGGGGAAAGGTATTGGCGGAGACGGGCGATGCGATGGAGCCTGGGAACCCAATCCCAGGCTCGGATCCAAATCCCTGACTGTTCAGCGCCTTGGGACGTCCTCCTGATGTGAACGGCGCTGTACAAACGTAATTTCTTGTTGTTGTTAGCGGTGCGCCAAAGTGAAGCCACACTTGAATTCCCCCCACTCCCAACCAGAAGCAGTACGAGATTGCCACAGTGTACTGCTGCATAAACAGGACGGGGAAATAATCACTCATGTGGCATGAGAAGTATTGGGAACTGCTTGAATTCCTAATGGAAGAATAACTCCTGTATGAGCCAGATGACATTGAAAAAAAATCATTACCGGTCATACCAGAAGTCATACCAACTAGCGTGAGCTCCCGGTTGCTTTTGATGGAAATGCATCCCATTGAGTGAGACAAATCCCATTGAATAAGCAACGATTTGGCTCGAGACTGAAAATCTTAACATGTCTGCACAATAGAAGGACCTATTAAGTCCATAATAATCGTTACATTTGACATAGCACCTTTCAGGGAGGGAGGACATCTCAAAGCGCTTCACAGGACCTACCGCAAAGTGCAGCCCTTTCTGTCAGCTGTTGCTAACTCCCCCCCCCCCCCCCCCACACCCACCTCACCTAACTCTCATTGGAGCGATCTACTCTATAATAATAATACTCCTTGCATTTGATATGTGGGTCTGTGGAATGTAATCCTTGCAATTGATATGACAGCTTATCACATCTTAGAGACGTCTCAAAGTGTTTCACAGAATATACTGTAAAGTGAATTGATTGTATATTCTAATCTAATCCTAGTCCCCTGTTCTTTCCCCATAATCCTTAATACTACAATTGTCAACAATTTATCTAGTTCCAGACAGAGCGGTATAACCCCGAGTGCCTCTTGACATGAAACTGAAGTGACAAGAAAGTTCGGAACTTTAATGTTTTTGGATTCTCTGGTTTATGAGAGAGTCTTTAGAGTGAGGCAGTAATAACATCCAGGCACTGTAGAAAGAATGATCAGAGGAGCTGTTGAGAACAACAGCAATTAGAATCATAGAATTACAGACTTACAGAAGGAGGCCATTCGGCTCATCATGCCTGTGCCGACTCTTTGAAAGAGCTATCCAACTCGTCCCATTCCCTGCTCTTACCCCATAGCCCTGCAATTTTTTCCTGTTCAAATACCTATCCAATTCCTCTTTGAAAGCTACTATCAAATCTGCTTCCAACACCCTTTCAGGCAATACGTTCCAGATCATAACAACTCTCTGTGTAAAAAAAATTCTCCTTGTCTCCCCTCTGGTTCTTTTACGCCCCGGAATTATCTGCGATACAGGTTAAACCAAATCGGTCAATACAAATTTGTGTTGATCTTAATAATAATAATAATTCTCGCATTTGATATAGCGCTTTTCACGTCTTCTAGACATCTCAAAGTGCTTCACAGAATATGCTGTAAAGTGAATTGACTGTATATTTGTGGGTGAAACATGGCAGCCAATTGCGCACAGCAGTGTTCCACAAACAGTCGTGGATTGAAAATGACCAATTTATTATTTTTTTTGTTTTTTGGAGGGATTATTATCTAATTTTTAATTGAGGATTGCCTGAAGCTGAATAAAGTGCATATAGTTAGAACATCAAAGCTTCCAATTCACACCTCTTCACAGTCAGTAATCACATACCCCCACCCAGCAACACCAAAGTTTGGATCTTATCTCTGGGGGAGGGAGGAAAGTCATTTGTGTACATTGGTACAGCTGCTCTTCTGTAATTAAACAGAACGAGAGGAGGCAAGGTAATTTTTTCTTGTGTACTTTCTATTATCATACATTGTCAATCAGAATTATTGCCCCCACATTACAAAGCTGGGACGATGCCAAATAAATGCATGTCCTTCTGGGCATTGAGATTGAATCTTTCAGATGCCTCCGAATAATGGAATCCAATAAACCTGAACTATTCTGATTTCGACTTGAGCATTAAATTATTCTGTTAAATCGGTGGCAAACATATATTGTTGTGTTCAGACTCCCCGTCGCTAAATGCACCTGTGCTTGATGT